TATTATGTTGCAAAGAATAAGCAATTTTTTATGATATAGTAATAAATTTTGTATTTTATATTATAAAAATTTTGTGTAATATTCTTTCATTTAAAATTTTTATATCTATTGATACAATAATAAAACTGATATGATACAAAGTGATGTTAACACAATACTTACAAAACCATTTCATATGAAATAACAAACAACTTAAAAATAAGAATTAATTAATATAACAATATATATCATCATATGATAAAACTTTTTCTAATTGTTATTCATAATATAATTAAATAATAGTTAAAAAATTCAAATTTATAAATATATATTAAAATTTATTTGAGTAAAATATTAAACAACATACTTATACTGTATTGTAAGACTGACTATAACTATAAATGAAATTCAAGTTACAAGTAATGATGTAGATTGTTTGATTAATATTAATATATTCTATTTTATTATTAATACTGTCAATTATTAATATAAATAGATATAACAATTATTCTTTCTTTAATTTTTCAGTAACATAATCTTATTTAATAAATAAATTTAATACTGCAAGAACAGAATCTTATATAGTCCTATTTTCAGAACTGCAAGTGTAAGCATTATGAGCCTTCAATTTAGATAAAAATAGAAAATTTAGAAAAAAAGCATGATAAAAAATTTTCTAGTGAGAAGAAAGCTGCTTCTTTCCTCATCACAAGGACAAACTAAATACCAATCATTTTGTGGATTATTACATACTAAAAATAATTTTATTTAGCAAAATAATTGTCATAAACACACAACAATTTCAAAATAAATATTAATTAAAAGTAATTTTTTAATTTATCTATATGTAATGATGTTAAATACTAATCTTATTGCATTTAGGTATATACAGTGGATCCATAATCACTAAACAAGTGATAAATATATAAGAAATATAGATATTACTACTTAATTGATTTGCTTTGATATACATTTAGTTTTGTTGTTTTTTTTATTCTATTTATATATAAATACTTTTATCATATTGTTAAAACCTATATTTATTCATATATATATATATTTCATATTATTTAATTATTGTTTGTAAAATTTTGTTTTACACTATTGTTTGTTTTAAATTTTACAATAACTTACACATTAAATGCATTTTAATATTTTATTCTATTTGCACAGACTAATTATTGTTTTTCATATTTATATTTTATTATTTTACACTGTGTCCTCATTAATAACAGCATTCAAAAGATCAAAATCAGATATTGTAATTGTATTCAGCATCTATTTGACAATAGGCAAATTCATCTTTAAATCAGCAATCACTGTTGATTAACATTTGCAGCAAATTACAAATAACCTTAATTACTACAGGCTGGATTTGAATGATATACAGTTTTTCCCCTTAAATGTTATGAAGTTAAAATTTCAATGCAAACATGATTTGGAATAAAGTATCAAATTAAGGGTGTTTGACAATGCATATTTTATATGCATTTTTAAATATGCACAGAATATGCATTTAGGATTTTTACTGCACATTTTGCAAATCTGACCATTTTTCTAACTAAATAAGTGCTTTATAAACTTGTTTTGGTTCTTTTCTGTTAATGGGATGCCAGTTGTAACATTAATCTGATGCGCAATACTGTAGCCCACATCATTCTGCTAAGACTATTGTGTTTAACTATAATAAAATAAAATGGAGAAGACACTGAGGTTGGAGTTACATGTACATTTTTGTTTTTAGCCGACATGTAACACCAACCTCAGTGTCTTCTCCATTTTATTTTATTATACAGTATTTTGGCATGAGAGTCATCCTATTGATCACTAAGAGATGTGTTTAACTATTTAGTGCATGTGACTATGCCAGCTTTGAATAGCCCACTTGACTGTTCATAGAGTATTTGATGTTATGTAGAATTAGAGGGGGATTCATACCCACCTGAGTGTTAAGGTGCAAGCAATAGCAAGCACTGAAGCACACAACTACATGTGAAGCATGTAGAATAGGCAGTATACTGATACATATTAAAAATTGATCTTTGAAGGTGAATATCTCATGAAGGGTCAACAATTCTGGGAGTGGTGCAAACCCCTCATTCAGAACTTGAATCTTACCATATCAGCTGACATCCCTTTAACAGAAAAGTACTCTTGTTTTCATGATCTCAAGTGCTATTTTTTTCAAATGATCTATAGTCCATTTTTGCTATCTGTGCAGGGACTCTTTTTTTCACCACTACAATTCACATCTTGTAATCAAGAAATATCACCCTGCCATCTAATTAGAGATGGGCATGCAAAACTCAAATGTTTTAAATTTAAACAGTCTAACTTGCATTCTTTTAAAGTCCCAAAAATGACACATTTTACTTTGCCATGGAAATCTCTCATTTTTCAAATTCTTAAACTTCTTTGAATTTCCTAAAGTTATTGTAAATGTTATATTCATTAATTTAATAATGTTAAATTTAAATCTTTCAAAAAATTCTTTACAGACAAGTTCTAGTTGCACTGAAATTAACTTTAGTAGGGAAAAATATGACCTACTTGAACCTATAACCGGTGATACTGATTTTCTGTTTATAAAAAGCCATTCTGTTCTCATTATTTCATACTTTATTGAATACCTTTATACAGTTTGAGACTTTTTGAGTTTGAAAGCCAATAAGTGTTTGATTTGAGTTTAATAAAATTTTTTCTGTAACTTTTACTCCTAATGATGAAGTGAATGGCTTGAGTATAATTAAGAAATCACAGAAACATTTTGAAGCTCTCAAATAAAGAAGGGAATGATGAACTTTGACAATTAAATTTTATCATCACTCTAGTAATTGTTCAATAATTATACTTAATTATACTTACTTGGATTTGGTTTTATTGTTATATTGATTTCTTCATTTGACATTTTTGCTTTTTTCATAGCATGAGATGCTCTTGGACAACCTGACAAGCTACGATGTGTTAGAAAACTGCCATTTGCATGACCACTACCATCACAACCTGGTGTGGGACAACTAAAAAATAATTTATTATAATTACAAACAAACTTGAATTTAAAGATCAAATTTCAAAGAAAGTAAGAGAATATATGATAAAACTAAAAAAAAGAAAAAAAAATGCAAAAATATGTTGTAACAAAATAACATCTTAATATTGATTACATGTACAGTGAGACAACTGTATCTGCAGTCTCAGCAACCACAGTTTTATTTATCTGCAATTTGCAAGCACCATATATAAAACTTATCAAATCTTGCTTTGATCTGATATTCATTAGTTTTTTTGTGCAGTGCATAATTTTATTTAGTTTTGCTTTATTTACTGAATTAAATAGTGTTTTTTTCTTCATTTGACTAAATTTTAAAATATTTTTATTGAAATAAGATTTTTAAATAACCTGTAAAATGGATTCTAAACCGAAGACATGAAGTACTAACTATATGTGAGAAAGTGAAAATTTTCAATATGATTGAAATACATGTATTAAAAAAAAAAAATAGTTTGCAAAGATTGCCAAGTTGTATGGAAAAAATAAATCTTTGATACATGACATAAAGAAGAAAAATTAATTTCAGTTTTTCTGTTGCGACCCCAATCCTCAAATGTTTGATATAGTGCATGATAAGATATTACTCAAGATGGAAATAGTGTTAAATTTGTGGGTAGAAGATGTATTACAGCAAAAGGCACTGAGCCTATATGAGGACATTCAGTTACAAGACAGCACAGAGGCAGACACTTAGCAATTTACAGCAAAGCTAGGAATGGTTACAAAGATTCAGAGCTAAAATTTATCTAAAAAATATAGAAATTACTGGAGAAGCTGCATCTGTTAATGAGGATGCTGGTGCCATGTTTCCATCAGAGTTAAAAAAATCATTGAGGAGAAAGGCTATCATTCTAAGCAAGTTTTAATTGTGACAAAAAGAAAAACAAATCGTCTTTTAAAAAAAATGCCTGAGAGGACCTATATCCACAAAAGTGCAAAATGCACCAGGCTTTAAAACAAGTAAGCACGGATTAACTCTGGTACCATGTGGTAATGCGGCTTGGCATATGATAAAACCTGGTGTTGTTTACAAAGCAAAGAATTGTTGTGCTCTTAAAGAAAAACAAGTAAAACGACAATGCCATTTTTGGGATGAGACTATGTCTCGGAGAGAGTGTGAGCAATGCATGCACAAATATCACACTCGTGCCTGTTTGTAGAAACAGTCTCACATTTTGTATTTTCTTTTCAGTCCCCTGACTACCTACAAGTCTGGTTTATTTTATGTGCACATGATTTGGACACCAAATACTCTGTGCCAAATTGCGACTCCTCATACCTCTAAGGTGTGCAGCCGTTGACAGCAGCGTGATTTTAAAGAAGAGACATAGTCTTGTCAATAAAAATCTGTCTATTTTCTGTCAGCACAATTCCAAGGCATGGGTCTTGGCTATATTATTAGCTGAAAGATTTCGTCAATGCTTCATTCCTGAAGTGAAGCTATATTTAGAGAAAGAATAGTTACCATTTAAGGTTTATTGATAACAGATAATGTGCCTCATCATTCTCAATCATTCAGCATCAAAGATGAAATGTTCAAGTTCTATTTTTACCACAAACACCACCCGATTGCTTCAGCTACTTGTCCAGGGTGTAATTAAATGTGTCAAAGCCTCACATACTCGACAGCTATTTGATATGATTCAAGCAATGATTTAAGCCACTCTTGATGTTGGAATTATGGACTGCTGGATCATTAACTGTTGCTGATGCAATTGTTTTCATTAAAGGAGCAATAGATGAATTATAACTAGAAACAATAACCATACTGGAAGAATTTCTGAAATAATAATGTCCATGATTTCAAAGGTTTCCCTGGAATTGACACAGAAGTAAGAGAGAGAATTCAAATAGCAAAATGAATTGATGGTGAGGGATTTGTTGATATGATATATCATATTGAAGGAAATTGTAGTGTTGACAAACAAGGAGTTAGAAGACCACATCATATAATCTACAGAAGAAGAAGACATTGAATCATAATCACTCGAAAAATCTGGTGAAGTGTTTTGAATTGCCCAGAATTTGAAGGAAAAGATAACAGAATAGGATCTTATGAAGGAATGTAGCATTAAAGTTACCCATTTAATTACAGAACCTCTTCATAATATGTTTTATAAAATGAAAAATCAGAAGGGACAACTTCCCATCATAATGTTTTTCATAAGGCCCAAAAAATTGTCTACTATCAAGTTTTCTGTATATATTGAATATAGTCAGTGAAAATTCATATTTTTGTCTCATCCCTCTTTCTACAGAGAATCATGCTGCGTAATCATTGTCAATTCTCAGATGCCTTCTGATATATAAATGTAATTAACAATATTTCTCCCTATGTCAATACTTCATAAGATCTCAAATAATTTCTGGAACTTCACTTTGTCAAATTCCTTTTCAAAATCCACAAAACAGATATATACAGATTTGTGGTAGCCCAGATGTTTTTCTATTATTATCTTAACATTGTAATTGCTTCTTTTGTCCAAACATTTTTCCTGAATCCAAATTGTGATCAACACAGTTCATTACCTATTTTTTTTTTTGTCTTGATCTTTTCAAATAGAATAAGTTACAAATTGATAATCTAGATCAGTTTTGTCATCCAGTATTATCAATAGTATTAAATGTAACTGGTAAGTATAGGAAATTTACTGTGATCTTAAGGTAACAATATATATATATAAATCAATTACAGTATAGATTAATATATGTGAACATGAATTTTAAAAGAAAAAAACAAAAGCATATATTGCTGAAAAACATGAAAGCAAATTAATGTTTTATTTCATTCTTGTTTTAAGCTAGAAGTGGTCAACATATATGTTGATAAAATTTGTCATATATATGTACTGATATTTATAAATAAAAAATTCTAAAAACTTTCCAATATGCATTAAAAAAAAAAAGCTTTCTTCAAATAGCAAAAATAATTTTCAAAGCACTTGGTTTGATGATGACTATACTCATCTTATTTGATATGTGTAGCAAATCACAATTAGAAATTAAATAAACTTATTGTCTTGATTTGTGATTGTCAATAATTCTAATTGTTATTACATCCTAAAACTGCATTCTTGACAAGCAACTTCAGTCATATTCTGAATTTCTCATTGGGAGAATTAACAATTCATTTCTTCCAAATTAAAAGATTAATTTATTTAATTCTTGACAACTAAATAGATTAATATTGAAATAATTGTAAAAGTTGTATTATATATTATTTTCAATTTGACAACATAATATAACTAAAAAATAATGCTAAAACCAGAAAATTTCTCAAAAAATAAACAAGATAATAAATTCATCTTACAATTATTTATTGATGAATTACTATTAATAAACATTTATAATGATCATGTAAATAAACTATTTCCAATGCTTGCTTTTGGAAGCCAAAATTATAAGACAAAATGTTTTAATCTGAAATTATATCATCATCAGCTTAAAATTCAAATGAATAGAATGCAAAAAATGTTCTTAAAATTTAACTCAAGATTGAACATATAAATGAAATTAACTCAATTCTTTTTCCAAAATATTGTACACTCAATTTCAATCTTAACATGTATTTTATAAATCATCTTACCTTACTCCTTCTGATTTGATTGGTCTGCCATCATTTCCTAAAGTTTCATGCCTCATTTTATTTTTGTTAGCCAATGGACATCCAGATGCACTAAATATTCACAAAAAAAAAAAAATTAATATAACCTTAAAAGTAATCATTACTTCCAAAAGTTCTCACTTTCATAACACTACCTACTAAATTAACTGTTAAAACATTCTCAATTACATAGATATTTTAAAATAATTTAATTTTAGTAGAAGTTCATTAATCCAGCACATACAGGACCAGAGCAATACTAGTTTATCAAAAATGCTGGATTCTGAATGTTTTTGTTTTTACATAATTCAACAAGTTATATACATTATATAAGTTATATTGCAGATATTACTATACATTTTGTACCAGACACATTGCTGTATACTTCTAATTTGTTTACTGTATATGCATGCTACAGCACTCAAAAAAAAAAAAAAAAAAAAAAGTGTTGTAACATACATAGCCACATTCCCCCACCTTTATTTTGATTTCCCCCAGGACAACATAAAATATCCAAAGAAATTTAGATTTAAAATTAATGGATTATTAAGATAATTCTGGATTATTGACTGCTTTTAACACATTAACCACCACCATTGGAAAAAATCTTCATATCCCTGGGTCACTCTTTTTTTCTACAGATTTACATTCGTTTCATATCAGAAAATCCAAATTTGCTGTGTTGATTTTTTAAAAATATTTATGTTAATTTTGAAAGTTTTGTTTTACATACAATATGCCTCAAAATTTAAATAAATGAATTTACATATACAGGTTAAGTCGCATATATTGTGCCTCCCTCACTTGCAGGGTGGTACAAGTTTGTTTTGCATTAGTTTTGATTAGACTACATTTACAGAAATGCTCCTTGAGTACTATTGGTAGTCCACAGAGCATATTGTATAATCAGTCATTGAGGCACAAACTGTACTGTGCCTTGAAGCACCAGGAGAAATGTTTAGTGAGCCACACAAATAGTACCTCATTGCAGTTAACATGCTAAGAGGATGCTGGATTACCATTCTAGATTAACAAACTTCTATTGTACATAAAAGTATTTTAAATAACTTAAATATTAATTCAATATTTTGATATAATAAATTCATAAAATTACTTGGTATTGAACTCAGATAATATGTTTAAGAATAACATTATATTGAAATAATGTAAAGTTCATAATTATTTCAATTTCATCTGTTTTTTTTAAAATAGTAAATAAAATTTAAGTAGTTACAGCCTCTATATTACTTCAATGTTATCTGTATTAATTCAATCTAATACTACTAATCTGTATTTTTTTTTTTATAAACCAGTTTATGAAAAGAACATTAACTTCAACTTAAATATAAAGATCAAGTTTATTATTGTTTTGAATAATTTTTGAATGTTCCATAATATAAAAAATAGCAAATATTATCTTTTTAACTATAAATTATTCATAATATTCTTAGAATAATTGATTTCATAAATTAAAGTATTGTATAAAAACTATCTAGAAAGTATAATTTCTCTAATTATTTATATTAATAAAATTGACTATACTGATTTTCTGTTTATCCTATACTTACAGGAAATCAAAATAAAGTTTATTATTTTAAAGTTAAATTCATTTTCTGTTGATAAGTTATCAGAAACAAAAGCATAAAAAATTTGCATAAATTTTCAACTATAAATTTTAATATTTACTGAACAATAAATTGTGACTGAAAACTAAAAAGAAATAATATATATCTAGAATAAAGTTTTTGCTTATAAGTTAATTTTATAAGTGAAACAGACTAGATTTACGATAAGTTCATATATCTTTATTTAGATAAATGGCTAGAATTCCAGAGTTTACTATCTTTATATTGTATATTCAGAAAACGAGCTAAATTTTCATTTCATGTCTTCTCATTAATTCTTAAATTTTAAAAATATAAAACATTACACTTTAGCATAGTGTAACACTTTTATCCATTATTTACTACCAGAAAAACAATTTCTGTTTGTGAATAAGTATCTGAGCATAATAAAACATACTTTGTATAAATTAATTTTTTAGATTTTGGT